AACCTATTGACTTCTTATTTCAATAGTTTCTAAACTGTCAACTATACAGTTCCCCAACTGCATTTTTTAAAATATGTCTAGTACTCCTATCAATTATAAGGAACTAATTTGTAGAATTAATCCTTCTTTTGTGTGTTATTTGTCTCATCTTCCTTTTATTTTTCCCTACTAAACTTGAAAATTAAAAACTAAAATATGAAGAAAGAGATTCTTTTTCCACTAGTGTAATAAACATTTAATATGCTTATTATAATAAAAAGAGTCCTCCCTCATTCTAGCAACAAATGACTATTCAGCAGATGCAAATGCCCATGTAGGTTATATTGCAGAATTTAGCCCTAGATTTCAAAAGTGCAGTTATGGCTAAACGTTGGGCCTATGAAATGCTCATATGTCCTGTGTTGCCATTTATGCTATTTGTGAACTCACTTTAGCACTACTCTCAAATACAAACTGCTTGGAGCCTAGAAGTTAATTTTTGCCACCCTGTTCCCCCAAAAGGCCCGGCTATTTTATGACATAGACACTCAACAGCACTGTGGCATGAAGGAGTGCACAAATGAATAGAGTAAGAGAACAGGCACTACAAGTTTGTGGCATTATAGATTCCTGAAACACTTAAATGTCATCTCGTATTTAACAGTTCTGTTCTCATTTATCCATCTCCTACATGAGATCGTTCAAACCCAGAGCACTATGCCTGGCACAGGGTCAGAACTCAGTAAATGTTAACACCCTCCTGGACTCTCCCTTGCCTAAGTCGATCACTAGAGCCCTTGAGAATGCTCAAACCTAGAGGATATAAAATAAGCAAACAGTAATGGGTTTCTACATTACTGAAAAACAATTGAAAATCTAATTTCACCAAAACTGAAATTAATTTGGTTAAAACAAGCCCAAAATATACTCAAGGGACAGCATGCTCTGACTTTTACCAGCATGGTGCAATGGTTCCAATGCACCATGACAATGCATTTCTTTATTGTCAGTCAAGAAATAAAAATTTTACTTAAAGACAAACTAAAGTCAGGCATTAAAGTGGCATAATGGTTTGAGCACTTGACATCTTCCAGTAAGTAGGGGGCTTAGCATGCCAATTTTTTTCTATTATATTTAAGGCAATTTATTCATTGTATTCAATAAATTTTAAACAACTACTTTGGGCAGAAAGTTTTTTATAGATATAGGAAAAAGGGAATCCAAAGTCTATGAAAGGCAAAAGACTAAACTGGGCTCTTTTTTTCTATTTCTATTTTCATATATTAATTTACTATTTACTCAGAACGTAATATTAACACAGCCAATCTTTATTAGCTCTTACTGTAAGCCAAGCATTATTTATTCTAAGTACTTCATCTATATTAACTAATTTCATTGTTATAAAAACCCTATGAACAAAATACTATTTTTAGCCCCATTGTGCAAATGAGGATACAGAATGCAGAGTTGCACAGCTTGCCCACAGCCACCCAGGCAGCAGGTGGCCAAGATGGCCCGGCCTTCACGAAGCCCAGCACTTATAGATCCCTGGGCTAGTAGTGGTCCAATAAATATTGGTTGTGCTTAATTTTCAAAAACTCCTAGCATACACATGCAAAGTGATCGATTACAGTGCCATGCAGGGAAGATTAACACAATGCTAAGGGACCCCAGACCAGGAAGCAGTGAGGCAGAGCTTCCCCAGAGAGGTTACAATTAAACAGGGCATTACAGGAGGAAAAGGAATGGCTTGCAGAAGACACAGCAGCACAAGGGTGCAGACACAAGAGCAGGCTGCCTGGTCACCAGCCACAGGCCAAGTAGCCCATGTGCATTGACAGGTGCTGGGGCTGAGCTGGAGCTGCGGTTCCCAGAGAGGGTCCCTCTCCTGGGCTAGGCAAAGAGATCAGTATTGATCTTATAGAGCCAATGGTGGCTTTTGCTGGGAAGTACGTGCGTTCCACTTTGGATGAGGATTCAGAGAGCAACAGTGTGGGAAATGAGCGATGGAGGCAGTCAGGTCTCTGGCCTCCTGGGGAGGCAGAGGAGGAAGGCCAGATGGAGGCTTGAGTCTGTCTGTCCACAGCCCTCCCTCGGCCCTGCCCCACCCCCAACTGCAGGCCATGCCCGGGGCAGCGATAACACTGAAAGCTGGCATCACTGAAGATTTAAACGGGCTGAGCTCTCTGCTGGCCAGCACCCAGGAAGTAGGTACAGCCATTGTCACCATTCACCCTGAGGACTCTGGCTCAAGAAGGTGGGGCCACCTCATCAGATTGGACCTATATCCAAGGGGCTACAATTCAAACCCAGGTGTGTTTGGGTGGCTCTAAATTCATACTTGTTCTCTATATGCAAGCACATTCCATGCTTCTTAAGATCCCATCGTTGCAGAAGGGATTCATTCTGAAGTTCTTTGCCTCCACTGGCCCACCTGGAACAAGCAGGGCACAGCAGGACAAGAGGGTCCCATCTGGAGCTGAAACTGCAGCTCTGGGTGCCATTCTTGTTGGCTTGTGTGTCAGGCATGCTGGCCTGTGGAGCCCAGGCCACTGGGTCTGCTGACACCATGGCTGGAAGCAGCTAGCAGCAAGTCATTTGGGATAGTCTCAAGCCCGCATGGCATTCCACACAGGGCAGGGGGTCAATTATAGAAGGCAGCATGGCAATGGCCCCAAAACCTGGCTGGGAGCCCCAGGCACTGGTCCTGCATGCTCCAGGTCCTTGGACCAGCCAAGTCCTCAGGCACCTGCCAGAGTTCTGTAGTGGAAAAACCAGGAGGCTGGGGTCTGTGCCCTCAAAGGAGGCATTAAGATTGCAAAAAAAAAAAAAAATTATATATATGTATGTATGTGTGTGTGTGTGTGTGTGTGTGTGTGTGTTAATCCAAAGTCAGATCTTAGGCCCTGGAAACAGAAAAGCTCTCTATTTCAAATTGCATTGCTACATATCTATCTAGAAATCAAAGTGAACAAACCAAAGTGAACTTAGAGCCTGACGAAGGGAATAGGGGTGTGTATGCTTGTAGGGAAACAGAAGCAGGTTTGTGTCCCGTGGCCAGGGCAGGATCCGCCAAGCCAGGGGTGGATGATACCGTCCCTTTCTCTCGCAAAGAGCCCTGGACAGAGCTACTCATTTAAAAATAAGTTTCTTTACAGAATTCTTTCTGCCCAGTTTCTACTTGGGTGTCCCACCTGTGGAGAGATTGGTCCAGGCCCTTGTTTGAACCTGGATTCTCCAAAGCACCGCTCGGCCCACTCTGGCCCCTGCTGGGGCCCCTGCTTCTTGTTTCACCCCATCCAAACATATCCACCTGTTTCCATTCTACCAGGGCCCTGTGCTTTGCTAATTCATTTGAAAAATTAATTCATACTAAAGTAAGAACTAACTAGTTGTGGCTTAATAAATCCCTCTGAGATATTGCAATTTGTCATACTTTCTCTACTAAATTTTCACAATGGTAGCCTGGAAAGCTGGGGGGCCAGCTGTGGGAGTTTGGGCTGCAGGGCACTCCATGTAGAAACACGTGGGTCATTACAGCCCTTTCATGAGAAACGCGTTTATTAGTGCCAGCACCGGGCCCTGCCTTCCCGAAGATGTCTGGGCAGATGGCCACTGACTCCACGCCTCTTGGGAAGCTGCCCTCTCTCTGCCCCTTCCTAACCTGTCTCCGCTCTTTCATTTAAACAAGATCAGCTACTGACATTTCATTTAAACAAGATTTAGACTCTACCTTAGGGTATTCTTCCTTTGAATTCAGTCTTGAAAAATGAGTAGAGGCTTTTTCAGGTGGGAAACAATTGCAAAAGCGTGTGTGTACACAGGGGAATGTAATAAGTAAGTTATTAACAGTTATTATACAATAAGGTTAGCAATAAACGACCCCAAAACTCCATGGCTTGTAACGGCGAGCATTCATTTCTAGCTCCCGGGTCCTGATGGATGGGCTGGGGCTTTGTGGCACTCAGCTGGGCTGGCCCCCATGTCTCCAGATCTGGGACCAGTGCTTACTCAGAACCTGTTCTCCTCACGACAGGTGGGAGAAGCACAGGAGGAGTGAGCAGAAAACCATTGTGCCTCCCTAGGGTTTGGCCCAGAACTGGTACATTGTCTCTTCTGTCCCCATTCCCTCGGCCAGAGCAAGTAGCATGGCCAGTTCCAACCTCAGTGGGCCAGGAGGGAGGTCCACTTCACCCCAGTGACCGTGGCGAGGGCAGGGAGGAAGGCCTGTGAGCACGTAACACAGCGTCCTGCCACGGGCTGCCACGTCAGTGACACGGAGGTGTAAAGGAGCACGGGCGGGTTGGAAGTGTGTTTGGGAGCCGGGGAACAGGGAGGGAGGATGGCAGGTGGTGAGTTTGGAAAAAAAGAGGTTAGGACCGGCTAGCGGAGGACTCAGCTTCCTTGCCAAGGAGCGTGGCTTTTATCCCGTGGGCAGTAGAACGACATTCAGGGTAGGGACTTACTTGGCCCAACGTTCCCTCTGTCACCTCAGCTGCTGTCCCTGCTCTGGGGCACATGAGAGCATGCAGTGGCTGGATGGAAACTGCTGCCTGCTGCCAGGAACAGAACAGAAGAGTTTGGGGACAGGTCCAGGCTCATTGCCAATGTCACCCTGGGTATGCGTATGTGAACGCATGCACTTAGCTCTGACTGCCCAGGCTTGTGAAGTACCTCGGAGTGCTCTGAAAGCATTTGGGTGACCTCAGGGCAAAAGTCTTAAAGCATAGGACTCACACCACAAAAATACATGGTCAGGTAGTAATTGAGGAAAGAATCTGAAATACTTAGACATAAATCCAGCACCACTAATTACTAGTATATCACTTAACCCAAGGCTTGGTTTCCATATATATAAAATGCTTCTACTAAATTTTCATACTTCAGAGAGTTTGTAAGACTTGAATGAATACATGCAAAACTTTACATCATTATATAAATACAAGCTACGTATCTTTATATTACACTTTATATTTATGTAAGCTACTTATAGTTAAGTTGAAGGTAGCTGAAGTGAAGGGAATAGCTACCTATCCAATGAACTGAGCACTGTATTTTGAGGTGGACCCTGGTACCAGCAGGGATGTGGGTGAAGCAACAGAAAACATGGACCCTAAATGCCTCCCGGGGATCAAGGAGGGGACTGAAGTGCCAGGCTCCTTCACAGACCTTGTGCCAGGGCCACTGGTACCAACAGAAAGCCAGCGCCAGAGCCATGGTGCCCAAGAGATGACGTGGCAACAAAACCCACAATACAGCTTCTGCCACTGGGAAGTCATTTCAACAGACAGGAAGCTTTGCTATGAACTCCCTCCGAATGCTTCCTCTGGAACCCGATGAAACAGGATTTACTCTCCACATACTTGAGAAATGAGCAACCTGGGAGGAACTTCAATTGCTTCTGCAGTAAATCCAGGAAAAGGAAAGTTGAGAGAGGAAGAAAGGAGTTACCAGGGATACATTAGTTGCCTTAGAAGTGTAAAAAGTTGGGGGAAGTGCTTATAGGTTTCTGGGATTATCTGAACAATGATGGCTTAATGAGAGTCATTAAGTGGGCAAATATGCCCTAAAGAAGGCCAATTCTCCCTCGCATTATCAGCAAAACGGGAAGTATTAAGGGTCTTTATATTTAGCAGAGTCTAGACTGTACAAAATTACCATGCTAAATTGGCTTGCTTTTTATAAGGCCTACAGAAATCGATATTGATCTTTATCTGGCTTATTTCCATAAAGGCTACTTGCCATAAGAAGTTCATTGGGGGGGAAATGGGCGTTTATTGAAACCTTAAAATCTGTACCCCCATAATATGCCGAAATAAAAAAAAATAATAATAATAAATTAAAAAAATTGAAAATTAAAAAAAATAAAAATAAGAAGTTCATTTATGTATTCACATTTGATAAAAATGAGATGTGTGTAGAAAGTAAAGGAACGGGGAGAGTTGCAAAGGTTCTCATTCAGTTCAGGCTCAGTCTTAGCAGATCCACATTCTGTAGCATTTAGATCAGATTTTGCATGTTGTGCACATATACACCAAGCAACAAGACACAGCAATCCAATAGAAGATGACTGTGTCTGAACAGCCATGGCTTTGGAAGATAGAAGGTGACAGCACTGGGATTCTGACATGTGGCAAGTGAACCGCAGCCCTGTGTTCCCCATGGGGGAAAGTTTCCTCGGATATAGAATTATAGGTATTTGCATCCTTTAAAGCATCTCTTACAAAATGTCTTGGGACCAGGGTTGTGTGAAAAGGGACCAGGCGAGTGTGTGCCACTGAGTCAAGATAAGAGAGTTAATGTGTCCAGAAGTAAAAGTTTAAAGACAGCAGAAAATGGTAGGTAACTGTGCCAGGTTGGCATGGCCAGAGGAGGGCTGATGAGAAAGCTGGAAGAAGGCAGGCCCCATGACCATTGTCTATTTCCTTTCTCCCTTCCCTTTCACTCTCTTATTCTGTGGCTCTCCCTCTATGGATTTTGTGTTTTTCTTGTATGAAAGGTGTTCTAATTATAACGCCTTTGTTCATAGGGCTTCTATTTTCATATAAAATATTGTTTGTTCATAGGGCTTCTTGTTCATAGGGCTTCTATTTTCATATAAAATATTAATTTTACATAAAATATTACTAAAATAGATTACTAAATTACCAGATTTCTAGTAAATTACTAGAAATTACTAGATTTCTATTACTAATAAAAAATAATTACTAAAATATTATCAAAATAGACCAAATAATTGTGTTTTACTTCTTGTACCTACCCTACAAAACTGGGAAAATTTCCTCCTTACCTCAAAAATATTCTTCCATGGGAGCCTGAAGTGTCTATCAGGTCTTGAAATATATGGAAACATCCCCCAAGTGCAACTGTGTAAGAAATGACATCTTATTCTTAACCTTTCCAGATGTGTTTCCTTAATTATTGGATGAGATAATCCCATACCGTGACTTCCGTAGTCTCTCCCAGTGCTGTGGTCCATCCTATGGCTTCAGCTAGCATTGATGGGAAGTGGCTCCTGCTTCAGGAAAGCCATACTGGCTGGGGGTAGACAATGGTGTTCCCTATGATCAAAGAGAAAAATTGGGACCCAGGGCACTTGAGAGGGGAAGTGGTGCTTCTAACAGAAGGAAACAGGGCAGGCATGGTTGGTGATGGGAAGGAGACCACCTGTCCATTTCCATTTTTACCATTTCAAACTTAGGGGATTAAAGATGATCAAAGTGAAAAGATGATTCAAAAATAATAGCATGGTGGATGAAAATATTAACTATGGATTTGAAACAATGAAAATAATGCAGAAAAGATGTGATGAAAAAACAGGGAGACACAACAAGGAAGGCTTCAAAATAAGTCTGCAGCTGTGGCTCAGATGTGAGGCTTACTGTCTTCCTTCCTGTGTGTCGTTATCTTCCAGGTAACTTCAGAAGTTGGTGGGTTTCACTATTATCATTATTATTGTTGTTATTAATTATTGATAATGGTAATGTCATGCCTTGGCAAGCTTGCATAAACATTTTCAGTTTGGAATTTCTGCCTCCAATAATATCAAACGCTTTGGACAAATCTTCCAGAGGACAGCTAGAACAATTACACGAGATATTAAAAACTATCTGATGGCAATGGAGAGCTAACAAGGTAGTGAAAATTTATAGACCAGGATCTGAGGAATGATGTAGAACTGAAGTTGGGAGTTGCTTTTTTCCTCGTAGCATGAGCCTATCCTTCAAGGGATCACTGAGAAGCTGACTGAGAATTCTGACAATCTCTCAGAATTAGAGGGATGGGCCTTGGAGTCCAGGGCCTGCTGGGTAGGCGAGCGGCAGTGTTGCTGCTGGAAAATTCTTCTCACTTTAGGTTATGCCCTAAGAAGAAGATGAAGCAGAAGTAGACAGGCCTTCACAGGATCTCAAATAACTTCAAATTATCTTAAACTCTGAAATTAGAGAAAATTTAAAGGCTGTTAAATGCGTGACAGAAGGAAATGTAAAATCTTTTCTGGAGAAAAATAGCATTAAAATGTGCCTCAAGTATTTCTACAAACAATTAGAAATAAAATTTGTCACACAAGCAAAAATAACCAAGAAACAAGACAACAAGAACAAACAGAAACAACACATGATGGAAATAGGCCACAGGAGCTCCACATTTTAGTGTTATCAGACACAGACTTTAAAATAACCTCACTTCTATGTTTTGGGTGAAAATAAGATTAATAATTTCTGCAGAAAATGGAAGCTGTTTTAAAAGGAACAAAAGTAAATCCTAGAACAGAAATTTATAAATTTATAATAACCAAACTCAATAACTGGAACTTAATAAAATAATAGTTATTCTAGGATAACTAGAATTTAACAGCATAATGGACACAGCTGAGGAGAGAGTAATAAACTGGAAGATAGGCTAGAAAAACCCTGAGTCAAGCAAGAAAAGATAAAAAAGATGAAAAATCCATAAGAATATATAAGAACTATACACAGTAAGGCGAGAAACTCTAATACACATGGAATTGGAGTGCCCGAAGGAGAGAATAGCTAAAAAGGCAGAAGCAAATATTTAAATAATAATGGCTGAGAATTTTCCAAAGTGATGAAAAACTTCAAGCTACAAATTCAAGAAATCCTATGAAGCACACACACACACACACACAAAGAAACCCAGTAACTCACATCTAGCAAAATCTGAAACAAACTTCTGAAAATAAAGAGAAAAATTTAAAAAGAAACTAGAGAAGAAAAAGATGGGATCACTATTTAGATTACTAGCTTAATTTTCTTTAGCAAAAATAGGACCTAGAGATAATGGAATAATATAGCTAAGATAATTTTTTTAAAAATGCAGACTTGGAATTTTATACCCAGTGATAATATCCTTGAAGAAGGAAAATTTATTTTTAGACAAACTAACTGAAATTATTTGTGACCAGCAGTCCTCCATTAATGGAAATATTTAATGTATTCTACAGGTAGAAATAAAAGTATCCCAATGGAAGTTCAAAAATGCAACAAAATGTTGGTCACTTAATAAACATTGACTGCAGAAAACAATATTTTTTATGATAAAATTACAGAGAGACTTAAAATATATGACAACAATGGCATGTAAATTATAAGGGAATAAATAATGTTAAAATGCTCTAAAAATCACTGTACTATATGGGCAGAGAGGGTATTAATATTAGAATTAATAAGTCAAGGATCCCTGTTATAATCTCTACAGTAACCTACAGCATAAACAGGTCTAGCAATCCAATGTACAACATGAGACTATAGTTAATAAAATTATATTGTATTAGGGATTTTTGTTAAATAAGTAGATTTGAGCTGTTCTTGTCACAATAAAAACTATGTGAGATGATAGATATTAATTTGTTTCATATTAGCAACCATTTACTATCCACATCATTTTGTAAACCTCAAATATACCCAATGAAATTTATTTTTAAAAAAGAGTATCCATATTCTGCAGGTAAATCTTCTTTAGCAAAAAAGAAAAAAGAGTAAAGTCATATAATATTCAAAGACGTAGAGGGCAGGAAAAAAAATAATAAAGGATAACAAAAACAAAAGAGGCCAGAAAGAAGAGAAAAGGGAACATATAAAAATCATGCAAATAGAATGCTCCTCAGGAGGTACAGATCAAAACAAAATGAATTCTATTGTCCACTGTCCTTGGGTCCAATTGTCCTTGGGACAATGAATTCCATTGTCCACTGTCCTAACCCTAACCCTAACCCCACGTGTCTGTGCATCCAGGTAGAGCCCCACGAGCACCAGGGAGCTCGTCAGCCAGGCAACTCCATGTGCAACTGGCCTCAGCAGTTTGATCAGGAATTGTCTGACTTTCCAAAGATCCCATAATTTCTTTTTAAAAACAAAAAGATAAACCGTATGTAGATGTGTAGGCTTTCTAAATTACAGTCTATGATAATTAACTATATAGGTCATGCCTAAATTATAGCAGCATGTTTACAACTGACCTATTGTCTCTGCCCACCACGTGTCTCAAGCCCACCTCCAGCATCCCGTCGCCTTGAGCCTTTGTGTGGTGAAGGGAGGGGAATGAAATCTAAGGACTCTGGTATCTGTGGGTTCATAGCAAGAGTTAGGCACGTGATAATGCACAAATAAATTTGTGTTAAGGGAAAAGACAGCTTCCCAGCTTCCCTGGGGCTTTGGCCCAGGATGGAGCAATGACAGGATAATGGGAATAGCTGGGGGCTCTATGGGAATCAGCTGCGGTAACCAACAGAGACTCAGCTATTTGTTGCCTGAGTACACTCCTAAGTTAATTGGTTTCACCGGGCATGAGTGACTCCATATTGGTGTGGTCTGTTGGGCCAGGACAGGTGCCTGATCCAAATCAACAGCCTCCTGCAAAATTTTACTTAACAAAAGGCATTACTGATCTGCCATGTCTCAATCAGGATTTATGTACGTATATCCACCCAAACACTGCATTAAATTCTAACTCAGTTAATTGAGTTAATAAGGATCTTCTTTTAAAAATGTAAATACTTTCAAGAAGGCCAAGGATATCATCATTTGTGGCGATATGCACGGACTCAGTTTACTTTTCTTCTCCGATCCAGCAGGATGTAAGCGTGGGCGGAAGCGGGAACTAGGCAGAGGTAAGAGACGTGGGTTGGGTTAGATGCACTGTTCCCTGGGAGCAGCGCCTGAAATGCCATTCTGGAGCCAGGGGATTGCGGAGGGACAGCTCTCCAGGGAGACTTGTAGCACTGGAGAAACAGCAGAGGAGGGGAAGGCGCTGGAGACCAGCAGGTTTGGCTGACGTCTGCCCTCACAGCCTGATCCCATGGGAAGGCTTGGTGTGGGTGACATCACAGGGTTGTCGTCCCTTGTTGCAAGGAACTCAGACTTTTGTATCCAGTATCAGTCAGTCATTGGCTGAGGGGCAGCCCCAAGGGAAGGGTAAAATCTCCCAGGTGTTCAGGGTTAGGCAGCTCCTGCTGCTCAGGCCCAATTATTAGGAGGAGGGGCAGCTGTGAGCCCTTCCCAGCGAGCTCTCATAGCAGCTAGGAGGGGGTGCTCCGGCCAGTGAAAGGCATCTGGTTGGAGCACCCACAGACTCCAGATGCCAAGGAGATACCCCAGAGAGTCCCTGCTTCCAAAAGTCATTTAGGGTCAGTCTTGCACTAGGGAGAGAAACGAAAATGATCTTTCTTCACTACTGTCTGCAAACTCCTGGCCTCATGATTCAGCATGCCAACTAGCCCTATAATTCAGCGAGGTTAGGGCTCAGGGGAGGATTTTGTGGACTACTTTAAGAACTTCTCTGGTTATAGAATTTCTTCATGAGAAGTTTCAATAATCTATTGAGGCAACTGGACCAAAATTTTGAAACTGGATTATTCTTGGAAAATCTAAAATCTGCGGTCATCCCATGTGGAGTTTACTAAGATAGTCAAATAAAATTACAAATGTACTAATCTAATATTCATAGAATGCTGTAGAATTGTTACTTTGCTACATGAAACAGAGACATTAGAGATAAAAGTTTATATAAATAAAATCCTCAAAGCGATACAAGTAGATCTACCATTTGATCCAGCAATTCCACTACTGGGCATCTACCCAAAAGATCAAAAGTCACTTTATGAAAAAGACACCTGCACTTGAATGTTTATAGCAGCACAATTCACAATCCCAAAGCTGTGGAAACAACCCAAGTTCCCATCAATTCATGAGTGGATTAATAAAATGTGGTATATGTATACCATGGAATACTACTCAGCTTTAAGAAACAATGGTGATATAGCACCTCTTGTATATTCCTGGACACAGCTGGAACCCATTCTACTAAGTGAAGTATCTCAAGAATGGAAAAACCAGCACCACATGTACTCACCAGCAAATTGGTATTAACGGATCAACACCTAAGTGGACATATAGAGTAACATCTATCGGGTGTTGGGCAGGTGGGAGGGGGGAAGAGGAGATGGGTATATACAAACACAACGAGTAAGAGGTGCAATGTTTAGGGGATGGACACACTTGAAGCTCTGACTCGAGGGGGGAGGGGGGCATAAGCAATATACGTAACCTTAACACTTGCACCCCCATAATACACTAAAATTAAAAAAATCAACATTCTATGAAACTAAACCAAAATTGTAGGGTTTTTTTCTCACTTTTCCTCCAACATCTATATCTAATGTCAATATTAAGGAATGTCCCTAATGTTTCAAACCATCTCAACATCATCGCCACTTTCACATGGGAAAGTAAAGATCTGGATTTGCTTGTCTTTCACCAATGCCTCACTTTGGTTCTCTCTCCCCAGGGTCACACTTCACACCGTTCCTACTAGACTGGGGTCATTGCTGAACTGGCATTATGATTCCCAACACTAGCGTTAAGTACTGCGATTATTATAAAAATATTCATGTATAACTTGTAAAATAAAAATAAAGCACTCCTTTATTGGGTTCTTCAAAATATTTCTCAAGCTCATGGGAAAGTGAAAACATCATCTTTTCCTTCCTTTAGAAGATAAGGAATAAACTTTGTTGTTGTTGTTGTTTTCTAATATCAGAATTGTTTAAAGGCTAAATGGCAAAATGAAACTCAGCAACAAAACAGCCTCTGGAAGAAGAGAGGGATCTTGCCACAGCACATTGGCCAGAGATCGGTTTGAATTGTTTTGTTGTTAGCACAGGTGCCAGGTCCTCATTACCTAAAATTTAAAAATTTCAGTTTCTCTGCTCTTGGATGGCTTCAACCAACACCTACACAATGACGATTACCTAGGATTTGGTTGACGGGTTGTTCAGATGAAGCATCTATCTGGGCATGTCATTCCTCACTCAGGTCTCTGCACCCCTGAGTACCAGTGCTTTTGTCAGAAGACTCACCAACCTGCTCAAGCAAAATCAAAGTGTAAATTTGAACAGGAGGAATAAAATTCCTAAAG